GAGAGAGAGAGAGAGAGAGAGAGAGAGAGAGAGAGAGAGAGAGAGAGAGAGAGAGAGAGAGAGAGAGTATCACTGCTTTGCTTTCCCTCTCCTCTCTTCCTTTATTGTGTATCACTCAATGAGATGAACCGCGTTCCTTGGGCACTACGGCAGTGAGTGTAGTCAGTTGCCTACCTGTGGACATCGGAGAACTACCCTCTTCCCCCGAATACAACGTACGTTCATTATATCTGTATTTGGGGTAACTTCCAGTGTAGATTCAGCTATAATGACCGGGCGTTCTATTCGGGTGAAGACGGTAGTGCTTATCTTATGCGAACAAAAGAAAAAGGAGCAGTGGCACCGTGCACTCGTTATGTGACTACCGTCGCATCTGGTCTGGAAGGTGGCCCAAATACAGCTGTAATGACCGGGCGTTTTATACGGGTGAAGACGGTAGATTTTTTTAGGCAAGATGCAGAGGTCTGACAAGTCAGCTCTCCGACGAAACGCTCACGTGTCTACTCATGCCTTTCCTTGTTTTTTTTATTTATTTATTATTATTATTATTATTTTTTGCCGGCGATAGCACAAGGCATGCGCAGTCTTTTTGTTTCGGACGAGTCCAAAGACGATCTTCAATGGTGATAATGATGACGACGATGACGATGATAGCACAAGGCATCACGAGGATTATCCAGGTGATGATGATGATGATGACGATGGCGACGATGATGATGATGATAATGATGATAATGATGATAATGATGATGATGATAATGACGATGATGATTATGATGCTGCTGCTGCTGCTGCTGATGGTGCTGCTGCTGCTGATGATAATGATGATTATCCACATGACGATGATGATGATGTTGATGCTGATGATGATGATGAGGAGGAGGAGGGCGGGGAAGGATGATGATGATGATGATGATGATGATGATGATGATGATGATGATGATGATTATCCACATGACGATGATGATGATGCTGATGCTGATGCTGATGCTGATGATGAGGAGGAGGAGGGCGGGGAAGGATGATGATGATGATGATGATGATTGATTGATGGAGGATGATAATCCACGTGATGATGATGATTGATGAAGACCTTTCCTGCCAGTGAATAGAACGAGGACATCTCCCTACCATGATGATGATGCTGATTATCCAGCAGATGATGATGATGATGATGATGATGATGATGATGATGACATGTCCTAGGAGTGAATGGAGGAAGTAGGACATCTTCCCACCATTGCGTCTCAATCGAAGAGGGACTTAAGTGTTATATAAGAGGCACTACCGTCTTCCCCCGAACACAGCGCACCCTGATCATGAATGTTTACAAGCTATCTTTCCTGTCCGATGCTGTGACGAAATTAGAGCGCGCCTGTTCGACAGCGGCATCAGGAAAACGTGTTCTCAGCCATTTATTTTAGTAGAGGCGTTTCTCAAACTGCGGCCAATTTATAAAAAAAAAGAAAGAAAGAAAAAAAAAACTGCGCCCAATGTGGCAACATTAGCAGTCATTGGAATGACTTTGGGAGCACAGCTTATTTCATTTGGCTCTATAATTGTGATGCGGTCTCCAGCTACGGTAGGATTCCCTTTTACGACTGCCCTGGTTACCAGACGTACGTTTTTTTTTTKGGGGGGGGGRGGGGGGGGGGGGGTATAACCTACCAATTTATTTATTAAAAAAACCATCGTTGTAAAAAAAAGAGAAAAAAAAGCCATGCCCGGGTCTTCACAACATCCCGGAGAACAAAGGAGTACTGGGAGCATATATTAACTTCGCTTCGGCTATTTCTACTCCTACCTACCTACCTACCCATCTGCACCAGAATACAATGTACGGTTATTATAGCTGTGTATGTACTTGGGGCAACTGTGAGTCTAGATACAGCAATAATGCCTGTGCGTTGTATTCGGGTAATACGGGCGTAGCCTACGTGTATGGTTCATCATGTCAAGGATAAGGAGTAGTTAGAGCTTAAATAAGATAAGCAGGTATAGCTTGTTGTCCTTGACATGAGGAACATTACACGATGGTATTTAAAAAAAAGAAAAGACCTTTTTTATAACGAAAGAAAAAAAAAAGGAAGAAAAAGACACCCCCCCCGCCCCCAGCCCTCCCTTCTCCTCCTGTCTAACTCAATGTACAGGCCTACACTCGGGGGGGGCTGAAACCAGCACTGCTTTCCACCTGAAGGCTCCGGTGTAGCAGCACGTAATGGGTAGCGGGCTTGCTCTTGCGCTTGCGATTTCTTCCTTTTGCAATTACTTTTGGTGTTCGGATTGGTATTGATAGGGTGCGCTTGCGCTGTCTTCCTTTTGCGAACGCTCTTGGTGTTCATATTGATATCGACAGGGATAGAAGAAGTCGCCAAAGCGACCTGGAAGCCATAGCCATGTCTTGGAGGTGGCGTAGGCGCGATCCCTAGTGGTCTCCTTGTCTTCTTCTTCTGTTTTTCTCTCTCTCTCTCTCTCTCTCTTTCTCTCTCTCTCTCTTTATCTTTGCTTTCGTCTTCTACTCTTCCCTCCCTCTGTGTCTGTCTCTTCTTTCCCTGTTTTCCTCCCCCTGGGCTGCTGTTAGGGGGGGTGGGGGAGTGGGGGGGCGGGCAGGGATAAGGTGGTTGTGCGTCTGTCATGGCGCCTCGACAGAGACAAGCAGCGCGGAAGAAGCAAGGTCGGCCACCCCTCGCTGACGTCAGCGCTAATTCAACAGCACCGGCCGATCGGCAACCTCTCGCTGACGTCAACGTTAATACCGCAGCGGCGGCAGCAAAAGCGGTGGAACATGCGAGAACAGTGGAGTCGGCAGAAAAGTATTTTGATGAAGCAGGTGGGGTCGCCAATACATCTTTTTTTTTTTTTTTTTTTTTTTTTGAATTTCCCAATACGTATTCTGGCAATTCCAAAGGGGGGGTTATATTCTTTGCATTTCTTTCGCATGAGGGAAAAAAAATGCCCATCTTCAGAAAACAAGAAAAGAAATGCGCCAGCAATAGCTATTCTTTGCATTTCTTTTTTTCCTTTTTTTTTAATGGCAAGGCCAGGTACAGCTTATTTGGCAGGGACGCTCTTATCGCCCTCCCTAGTGCGCTGTAGCTGGCCTTGCCATTAAAAAAAAAAAAAAAAAAAAAAAAAAAGTGCCCTCTATAATTTATGCTTGCTTCAACGTGTTTTAGACCAGTAAAGAGCCACAGTCAATCGCCTGGCAGGGGGAGAAGTATGTCCCTTATCAAACGTGGCCAAGCACTATGGTGATGGTGATGGTGATGGCGAAGCAAGTATAATGGAGAAAAGGAGAAGGAGGGGGAGGAGGAGGAGCAGGAGGAGGGCCAGGAGAAGGAGGAGGAGCAGGAGGAGGGGCAGGAGAAGGAGGAGGAGGAGCAGGAGGAGGAGGAGGAGAAGAAGAAATGTATGGAGGAATAGGAGGGAATGGAGGAAGCGGAGGAGGTGGGGGATGCTGCCATTGGAAAAAAAGAGTGGATATGAAAATGAGAACCCTCCTTTTTCTCAGACCAGATTTTACATCTTGCATTGATGGATATGAAAAAGGATGGACGTCTTTTGAAACGTTGTGTTGCATCACCAACTCATGGATCGGCAGCTTATTTTTCTTCTGCTGACAGAAGCATTCTTCATGTGACATTGCTTGAGCAAGAAAGGGAGAAAAAGGCGAGAGAGAAAGATTTCTATGAAAGCGATAAAAAGGTGAGAGAGAAAGATATATATATACATCCGTATATGGAGAGAGAGACAGACACAGAGAGAGAGAGAGAGAGAGAGAGAGAGAGAGAGAGAGAGAGAGAGAGAGAGAGAGAGAGAGAGAGAGAGAGAGAGAGAGAGAGAGAGAGAGAGAGAGAGAGAGAGAGAGAGAGAGAGAGAGAGAGGAGGCACGGGCCGTGGAGGTGGATTGGAGAGATGGGGGAGAAGACAATGGAGGTAAGGAAAAATGCAGTAGGACAGCAGATAACAGTCCTGCGGCCGCATGGCGAGAGGGCAGACAGGTGGAGGATATCAGCTGTTCTTTGCAGCTGTCGATATTTTAAGTCCACTCTATGGGGGACTCATGTCCATCTGAGGCTATTACGGAGACAGGAAAAACTGATGACCAAGGCTACTTTAGCCTAGTGAATGAGGATGGCAGCAAATGGGCCATGGTGTTCGCTCAGCCAAACATCCAGGGATTGACCGTCTCTGCTCTGTCGCAAAACTCGTGCTGAGTAGATCATACAGCTGTAACTCCGGTCCACTCTGTTCGGACTCTGGAGAAAAGAATGATTTTTAGTTGTTTTTTTAGTATTTTTGTGTCTTTTTTTTTTTGTGTCATTTTTTAAGTATTTTTTAAGTATATTTTTTAAGTATTTTTTTGAGAACTTTTAGTATCTTTTTTAGTACTTTTTTTAGTATTGTTTTTAGTGTTTTTTACTCTTTCATTGATTCGCATGCCGCTGTTCATCTTGTCTACAAAGAACTCAAGAGATCATCAAAGAAGCAACGACAAAGCGCACGAAGAGTAAATGACAAAAAGCACAAGAAGTGATGACAAAGAGCGCATGACCGAAAGCATCGTTGTCCATGCACGAGAAAAAGGAGTTGTTTTCTGGAGGGAAATGAATAATAAAGGGGTAATTGCAGAAACAGCACATTTTCCGAGGTCTCCAGCGGAAATGTTGTCGGGGTCCGAAAGATGTTTTTTTTTTTTTTTGGCAACGAAAGAGGGACCCTGCCCGCAAATTCTTTTGCCGTCGTCAAACTACCGGGACCTGTAAAGCGGCAACGAAAGATGTATTTTGTGCAACGAAACTTGGACCCTGCGACTATTTTTGCTGTGAAACTAGCGCGAACGCGCTATTTTTGCAACTTACCCCTGAATAAACAAACAAACAGCTTCTGAGGGACATACAGAAACTTACTTTAGCTACAAGGCTTACATTACCAAAAAAAAAAAAAAAAAAAAAAAAAAAAAAACTTTAGGCATTTGGCATGTCGAGAGTTTGACTAAGTGGGTATATAGAGGATTGAGCGTGGTCTACTTGTCTCTTGTATGTATGGACGTTAGTGGGGCGCTCCGTGGGAAAGAGGAACTGGAGGAGGGCTTCACAAATAAGACTATGATAACCCACCCTCCTAGTTTCCAAGTGAGGGTGGTTAAGTTCTTAGACCGACCCCCCCCCCCCCCCCCCCCCCCCCCCCCCCCCCCCCCCCCCCCCCCCCCCCCCCCCCCCCCCTTCTCCTCTTCCCCTCTCACGCTCCTCTGGAGGAGCTTTGATCCGTAACTCCTAATCCCGATAACGAGTTGCATTATTAATTGGTAAATCACCCTAAACGGTGCATCCTTTTTCCTCTAAACTGTAAAACCTTTGTCTTTTCTTTTTTTTGTCTTTTTTTTTTTTGAAAAACAAAACCAGCCCCCTGTGGTCCTGGCTCCATGTCCATTCTGGGGAGCAGCAGCTAAACTGTAAAGCCTAAGTTCTTAAGAACCTAAACCCCAAACCCTAAACCCCAAAATGGGCTGCATTAATTAGTTCACAACTCATCCCAAATTCTAGACCCAGAAACCCATGCGCTAAACCCTCGACCTGAGGTCCTGGACCCGAAACCGGACACCCTAAACCCTAAACCCCAAAATGGGTTGCATTAATTAGTTCACAACTCATCCCAAATTCCTGACCCAAAAACCCATGCTCTAAGGAACCTGGAGTTCAATCCTGAAACCCTCGACCCTAAAGACTAAACATGGACAAGCCATAAACCCTAAGCCTAACTCATCCCAAATTCCTGACCCCTTGACCTGAGAATATGGAGCTCAAACCTGACACCCTTGACCTGAGAATGTGGACCCGAAGCCCGAAACCCTAAAACCTAAACATGGCAATCCATGAACCCTTTGCTCTGTGTAGCATCGTGTTCGAGTTCGGTGATCGAACCCGAACGTTTGCGACCGGACGCGAACGAGCACCAAAAACCTCCGAACGGCAACATAGAAAAAAAAAATTCACAGAAAAATCTGAAAAAAAAACATGTTATGTAAAATAATAATACAAACAACTTTTGCCTGGGAGGTATGCTCAGATTCGTAACCAAACTCGAGTTAAAAATCAAAAACCTACCAACTGGTGTAGCTCAGTTGGTACACTCCTGAACTGTTGAAATACAGACCTGGGTTCGAACTCCGCCGGATGCAGATGAGTAAAATACTACAATTCTGAACTACCTTGGGCCGGTCAGTTCGATGATGATATCTCAAGCCTGTAAAAAAAAAAAAAAAAAAAACCTAAAAAAAATTAAGATTTTTCTTTCTCAATCGTTGAAAAAATATGTTCGACCGAACCCCCGAACATGTTCGAACACGTTCGCGTGTTCGGGAAAGCTCTGAACGTGTTCCGTTTACTAAACAGCCTTTGCCTAAAGTTGCATTAGTTCACAATTTATCCAACATTCTAAATTTGAAAACCTAACCTCTAGCATGTGCTGCTAAATATTTTGGGGGTACCCCCATCAAGGATGTGTGAATTGCCATTTATGAAATCTTGGGGAGTGTGGTCTATATTCCAGGTCATGCTATCTATTAGCAAGTCTGATGAATTCAAGGCCAGGCTGTGTGCATCACCACAACAAGGCAACTCCTTGCACATATAGCAGATCTTTTTTTGTAATATATATTTTTTTAATTATAAAGCTACGTAGCACCGTGTTCGCGTTCGGAGGCGAACGCGAACATGTTCGCCCGAACGCCAACAAGCGCCCAAAACCCTCCGAACGCGAACATAAAAAATATTAAAAAAAAAAACAACGAAAGTTCTCAGAAAAATCTGGAAAAAATATATGTTATGTAAAATAACAATACAAGCAACTTTTGCCTTGGAGTCATGTTCAAATTCGTACCCAATCATGAGTTAAAATTCAAAAACCGAAAAATATATGTATGTATTTTTTTACGAAAAAATTATGTTCGTCCGAACATGTTCGTGAGCTGTTCGCACGAACTTGCGAACACGTTCGCGCGAACATGAACGGGCGCGAACACGTTCGCTGTGCTACGCAGTTATAAAGGAAAAAAAAAAGGGAGAAGAAGAAACGACTTGTTGTGTGCTTGCGAGAAGCATTAACCGGCTCTTTTGTTGCTCTTTTTTTTTTGTTTTGGTCTCGACAATGTTTGTTTTGTGACTGAAGTGGAGGAAGAGGTGGAGAAATTGATATCTGCGAAGGAGAAACTTTTTGCCAATTCGAAGATGGCGTTGCGAGCGAGGCTGCTGGCGCTTCCAAACCGTTTGAAAAAGATATCAGCCGCAGAGTTCCTTGCTGACTATGGAGGAGACATCAACGCTTTTCTTCTGTGTGAAAAGCAAGGTGCACCTGCTCGTGAAGGTGAGTCATTCTCAGTCGGTCGTCGGTATCCGGTGGTCTCCCGCTGTCTATTCTTATCATCACATGTTGCTAGCGAAAATATCAATCACTACAGTAATAAGCTTTTTCAAACTTTTTTTTTTTTTTTTTTCCCCTATGTTATCCCATAACTGCTGTGGAATGCGGCTGTGGAACTTGCCGACAATGCCTTTGGTAAGACCCGTTTAAGTGATGGGCAGTGGGGGGGGGTTCACGTGCTGATTCGAGCAAAGTGCGCGAGGGTGTTGTGTGTGTTGTTGCGCGTTGAGTTGGACAACTACAGCCCCTTGCAGGGGTGGGGTGGGTATCACGACTGGTACGGTTCCAATCTTGAAAACACCGTGTCCTGGCTGTAGTGGGTAAGAGACTTGGCTCTTGAGGGCGAGGTCGCCGGTTCGAATCCGTGCTTGCATGCACGGAGGAGGGCTGAGGACCAGATGTACGGATCCATAACTGCTGCAATATGCGCCACCGCCTTCCCCCGAACATAAGGCACCCTGATAAGGAATGTATACAAGCGACCTTTCCGGTCTGGTACAGCCATAATGACTGTGTGTTGCGTTCGGGGGGGGAGGATGGTAGTCACCTGTCAGAACTTCGGTACAAGCCGTACGAAGGATGTGTGCAAGAAAGACAAAAGTCCGTCGAAGAGTCAGACACATCATTCTGATCACAACAGAATAGATCCAGAAGGGCTCTTCGATGAACGACCACGAGTGTGTAGTACTTTCTCTACCTTCTTACCCCCCACAAAAAAAAAAAAAAAAGAAATCGGATGTACCCTTAACTCCTTGTATGTATCGACTGACACTCTCAGCGAATTATCAACCATGCTTGAAACTATTGGCTCCTTCGAATCCTGCACCCTCATGCTGTGCCTAAATGCGATTTCTTTCCAGATAGCTAATGATGAGGGGGGGGGGTAAGATGATTCAGCCATCGATGTCGAATAGCTAATTGGTATTTTTGTCATGTGTTGTTTTATGAATTTGTTTCTGTTAGTTGAGGGAGAGCACGGCTTTGAGATGACAATTTTGAATTTTGACTATAAGTTCTATAACCACTTTTTTGTTCAGAAGATACCGAAGAAGGTGATATTTGTTGCAGCACAACCATGTCCAGCCCCGTGCTCACTCAGCTATGCTCTCCAAGCTGTGAGCGGCTATCTTCACAGCAAGGATAGTGATCTTTATCGGGGAAAAAAGAAAGGTGTGAAATGCTGCCGGATCGTGCAAAGTGCTGAGGAGGTCATCTTGGATCTCCAGTGAAATGGACATTCCCTCCAGCGCTCTACGCTGCACACGGCAGATCTTACGCATTCTTTACCGCCACAACGTATACTAACCTGTTCCACATGATGGGAATCCTTTTTTTTGTTTTGTTTTTGTTATTTTTTTAAAAGAAGGGTGACGACTTTGAGATATCATCATGATTGAACTGACCGGCCTTAGGTAATTCAGAAGTGGTGTTATTTTGTTGATCTGACTGCATCTGGATTCGAGCTTGGGTCTGCATTTCAACCATACTTGCAACCGCACTGTGCGCCGTACCGTACGGTGTGCCGCACGGCGTGAGGCCCGGCACCTGCTCGTGCACCGTACCTGCGGCAGTTCCCCTTTTCTTTGTTTTTTTTTGCTGTTTTTGTAGATACAGACGAGTGCAACACCTAAGGAACCGACCTTTTTCAAGTACAGTCGTACATATTTTTCTTTCCGTCCAATTGGGGATGAGAAATATCCCCAAGAAAAGGTAGGTGTCTGGGACATCAGTCTTGACCTCTGTGTGTGTGTGTGTGTGTGTGTGTGTGTGTGTGTGAGAGAGAGAGAGAGAGAGAGAGAGAGAGAGAGAGAGAGAGAGAGAGAGAGAGAGA